GATGTAACCTCAATTTAATACAAACAAAAGGGAGAATCCCCAACACCCACACACTTCACAACACAAAATGGCCTCCTCTTCAACCCCACCTTCTCCTCTTGATTCCAGTCCTAGAGAAGACCTGTGGGCTGAATGGCTGGAACCATTAACAAAATGGCAAACCTTTGGACTGTACTTACCAGGAATAAAACAAAAGGACATTGATAAGATTGAAGAGGACAAGACTGGAGTGGAGAGTAGGAAGATGGGACTGTGGACTAAATGGACTGGGGTATATCCACCTGGTACATGGACTGATGTCATTAGTGCTCTTAAGAGACTGAAAGAGAATGCACTAGCAGCTGACATTGAAGAGAGACTGAGGAAAGGAAAAGTATTTGAAATTAAAAGTGAGACATTAAAGGGAGGGAGGATTATTAGAGCAACTTAAATACAATTTTAACTCTAGATGACATGTATAATGTATCATATATGCCATGTATTTCGTAGTAATTACTTTTGGGGTTTTGGAAAAATTCGTGAAATAAAAATCCACAAAATAGTGTGCTGATTGTATAGTAGGTGTGGTAATTACATTAAAATTGCAAAATTTTTATTCGTGAATACAAAAATGCAGCCAAATTGCAAAATTTTATACCTGCAAAATATATGGCATATATGGTATTAGGAAATGTAATAAAAATTGAAAATTCTCACATTTTCAAAATTTGGCCTAATTTTAAGTAACTTTAAAAATTCATTAAAAATCCAATTTTGATCGGAATTGGCTTAAACTTTCTATGCAACATATTATGTATCAGAAAAAATTATAAAAATGGAGAATTCTCTCCTTTTCAATTTTGGCGAAATTTGGGCGTGACCCTGTACTATAGTACAGAAAGTTTGGCCCAATTTTTGAGTAAAATTTAAAAATTTGTAAAACATCCAATTTTGATTGGAATCAACTTAAACTTTCTATGCAACATAAGAACATGTATATGCATCAGGAAATGTAATAAAAATGGAGAATTCTCTACTTTTCATTCTTGGCAAAATTTGGCCCGTGACCCTATACTATAGTACAGGGATTTTCGCCTGATTTTTGGCTATTGTTAAAAATTTTTTTTAAATCTAATTTTCATCGGAATTAGCTCAACCTTCTACACAACATAAGTACATGTATATAAATCAGAAAAAATTATAAAAAATGAAGAATTTATTCCTAGTCATTTTTGACGAAATACCCTGTACTATAGTACAGTACCAAAATATGAGACACTATAATTATTAATGTCTTCTTATATTACAGGTCCTCCTGCTGTTGCTCCTCCCCCTCCATCAGTTGATATTAATAAATTAAGACAAATAATAACTGAAGTGATACGAACCAACTCGCTACATTCAATAAAATGTGATGTAAAGACATTGTTAATCAGTAAATACCATTGCATTAAATATTAACATTGATTGTTATTTTATAACAGGATTATAAGAAGCATAATGAAGGTGGTACCACTGCTTCTGCTTGTAAGTATAAGTATTATTAATGAAGTATAACTAGTACAGACATTCATTCTTACTTATTAGAG